ATTGTCGGAAGACAATTTTCTTGTTTATTTATTTGGTTTTTAGAAAAATGTTGGTTGTAAAAACATTTATTTAAGTCATGTACTTTATTTTTTCAATTTTTATGAAATCCCACTATTTTTGTTAAATAAATTTGATCCAGTCGTAAAAAAAATTTTGAATTCAAAGGGTATAAACTTCTTTTGAATATTTTTTTGAGAATTTTTGAATATTTATACTCGTATAGTCGTATACTTGTTAAAATTTAAATATTTTTTTAAAAAATTAGGTAGTACTTTCAGTTTTTAAATGAATGAGCCATATAGAATCCAAACATTTTGAAATTTAATAAAATGATAAAAAATAAACCCCTTGACTTCGATAAATGTTTTTAAAATCAAAAGTTTTTTAAAAACCAGATTTACAAATTGGCTATTTTGAAATGTTCAAAAAGCATTTAACGCAGATTACATTTTTTTTATTCTTATTATTAAAAAATAAAAATAAAACGTTATAGGTGTATAGAAAAATATATATTAAAAATATTACTTAGAATAAAAGTTATTTCATTTGTCAGGTTTTCCTGTTACATCTGGTTAGTAGTATAAATGTAGTGATAAAATAATGTTTGTTAGTATTTTTGTTATTTACAACCGATGTAGATACTTTGCATATTATTCAAGTTGTAATGGTGCCAAAGGGGAATCTATACCTCCGTAAAAAGAAGTAGTTAGAATGTCAATTGTGTCATCGAAAACCTAAAATGCAATGATAATCGCATATAGTAAAAAAAATAGCTATGATTATAAATAAACTTCAAATTTATTGTTAAGACATTCAGAGAAATAGAAAAAAAAATATTATAAATAAAATAAAATAATACTTTCGTAACAAATTTTTAATTGAATACGTTATTATTAAAATGTAAATGAATGTAAATGCAAACAAATGTAATGCTAATGATCTTAGTTGTCGAGCAGAAATTTATAATTTCAAGACTATTAAAAAAAAAAAAAATACTTTCGTAAATTAAATTAGGGGAAACACGAATCTCAACTATCAAAAATAGATTTTATCATATAGTCCCTACTGATGCAGTGAACTCTAACACTGGAATGCTTTCACTAATCCATAGGCTGCATATGCAACATATTGGCTTAATACGGTAGAGTTGTGTATCCTATAGGCAATTATGGTGTAAGAAGAAACTAAAAAAAAATATATAAAACTATATCTCCCTTAAATAAATCTTATTCGTAGATAGCATATATATACAAATTATTGGAAAAAATTTAATTCAAACGATTTTGTGATTATTGATCGTTGTAATATTTCAGAGATAAAATGTTTTCTTTTGGAAATTAGTTAAAAAAGACCTAATAAATTAGTGATACAATTATATGCAAAATTATTATTTGTATTTACATAAAATTAAAGATAATCCGATTGTTAAAATAATAAATTTAAGTTTATAAAATCTGTTGTTATTTCAGTTAAAAAAAAAATAAATAAATAGATCATTATATTTCTAAATTATATTTTATTTATCTAATATCTAAATAGCAAAATTAGTCCACAGTAATGTCTGACAAAATGTTGTTTGTTTGTTAAAATAGTGTACCAAAGTCATGTATGTTAATATTGAATATTGTACGTTAGTTTATTCAGTTTATTATAATATTCAAAATTTATCTCTAATATAACACCAATATAAAAGATTAAATATCAAATTTGTAGGTGTGTCTTTTAATTATAAAGCTAAGCTTATACTTCAAACTTTTTATATCAAAGATATTCCCTTAAAATGTATTTGATTACTTTTGCAATATTTTATGAAAATGCAGTTTTATAATTTTATATAAGTTTAATTAATAATTCTTATAACTTATAAGTTATCACGTTTTGAATAGATTCCACACAGTAAAAGTATCTTTGCAAACCATATACTTTTAATGATTTGATAAAATGATATGTCATTAAACTGTTTACAAATAGTATTAATTTAAGACACCAAAAATACTATTTCAAAAGAATTTTCAAGCTTTTTTCAAAACAGAATTCTGATTAACAATATGTCGATATTAAAATGTGAATGAAATGTTGAGGTAATTGAAAATCGGGGTGGATCTTGAGTATTAATAAGTAAATATTTTTTTCAGGATAATATTGTAATCCAATTAGCAATTCCCAAACCTATATTTTGTTTATTATTTAGAAAAAACCCCAGAAACTAAGGGTATATCTGTCAAAAACAATGTCTAATATCTAATCGATTATATTACATTAAATGTATTCAATGACGCTAAGATTTATATTTTAATATTTTATCACCTACCTATTAGACATTTTTAAACATATGTATTTATTATTATGTTTATCTAAACGATATTTATATTAATACAATATTTCATATACACCTAATACCCGTAGAATAATACATTACAGTTGATTACAAAATTTAGAAATTTAACATTTTACACCCATGATTTAAAACTTACCTAAGTATTACACAGTACTAATATAGAATTTAAGATTGAAAAACTAAGTACTGTATAGTAAATTAAGTCTAACATAGATTTTACACTTAATCACATATTATGTAATTCTTAAAATATTATTAAATTCTGTGCAATTATGATAAGTATCTTATAAAGTTTAATTTTAATTTAGTAATGTAATATGATAAATTTTAAATCTGTACCAAGATTTAAAAATATATAAATAGGGGTGTCAGAAGCAAAGTAAACAATATCAAGCTTGAATAATATCAAAATAAGAACCAAGGTATAATATTTTATAAGTATTAGGTAGGTATTTTATTAAAATCATGACGAAATGTTAAGAATAATATGGACACACGGGATCGCAAAGATTTTATTGACAGTTAATAACTTATTAAGTTTTAACTATATTTAGTTTAAGCATTAAACTCACAAAATCTTTATATTAAATCATCTAAATATGCATGTACATTAAATTAAACACTAAATGATTTCAAATTAATTTTAACAACCAACAATTCTATGTTTGAAAGGGTTAATTTTAAATGGTCAAACTTTCATGCTAGGCTCACCTATGAATTATTATTGTTAAATGTTAAAACTATTTTAAATTACGAATGGGTCACATTATATAGATAAATATTTATACTATTTTAGCTGACAGGTGGTGTACACACGCTCGTGGTTCTGACTCGAATTCTAATATTATATTGTGCCTATAACTCTTATAGTACTATTATTAGTGTTCACTTAAACTATTTAGAAGCATGATAAATAAAATAAATTTCAATTATGACGTGTATATATTATTATAATATATATTTTAGATTTTGAGTGGAGAAAAACATGTATTGGTTTAACAGTAACGTGTTAGAGGTGGTAAATCTACAACAAAATTGAAAATGGTGCTTAAAAAATTAATTTTTACTATTTTAAACTATTTATTTTCAAAAAGTCAAATGATATTAAAACTTTAGGTCTATATATTATGTAATATCAATTATTATACATCAATATTATGTATGTATCAATATATTATTCATTATGAATACACAGATATTAAACTTTTATAAGATAACAAAATTAATTTTAAATATTATTCAGCACTTAAGCAATTTTCTTAAGACAAAAAAGATTTCACAATATGCTAAACGGATTGTGAAAAATAAGAGTAATTTATTTAATAATTGTCCAAACAAAAAAAAAATAATGCATTGCTCCACTCAGAATTTAAAAGAATTTATCATTTTACTTTTTTTGTCATAAAAAAATTAAATACAAAAACCACAACTAGGGTATGGATAAAAATATAAATTATATTATTTAGTTGTTTTTTGTGCTGTTCTATATTTATTGCCGGATTACAAAATAACATAATATTTTCATTCTAGGTGTATATCAAATAATTAATTTCTTCTGTAGAAATTTTGACGTATGTACAATATAATAATATATCAAGATAAGCTTTAAGAGGTTAACATAAAACATGATACTAATGTGTAATACTTTCTTATACATATTTGAATATACCTTTAAGTAGTATGTATGAAAAAAAATTAAATTGGGATTAAAATAACTAGATTAACTTATCTTTTGTAAATCATTTATGTAAATTAGCTGTAATCAATAGGTATTTTAAAACATTTTTGGAGGTGGAAATTCTAGAATCTTTATTTTTTATTTAGATAACGATTTTTTATTTTGAATTCATGTAAATTTTAATTATTTTATATAAAAATATAACATGGTAGTTATTATGTTTTCACAAAACTAAAATTTTTTCTTTTAAAATTGCACACTATAATATTGGTTAACTATAATAACTAAAATATTAATTTTTTTTAAATTGTATATATCTTCGTCTATTTTATTTCTGTATTGCTGTATTCATATCTCATATGTAATTTACATATTTAATAACATGTCGTCATTCATTTGAAAAAATTATGCCACTGTTTAAACTTAGCTAGAGAATCTTCTAATATCTTAAAAATAAACTTGTTTTGAATTAATAAAATATATATATTGACTTATAATCACACTATACTCTTTTATTTCACCATACAAATCATTTTTGTGTTAGCATGTCACTTATTTATTTTTAATATACTATAGGTAGGTACCTATCTATCTCGCTAATGATACAAATTCTCAAAACAAACATTGTATAACATTAATTTTTAAATTAATATTTTAAATTAATCATTTTGTAAGTTTTCTGTTTTAATGGATTAAAATAACATACCTAACTATTTTAAATACGATAATAATAATGTATTATAATTATATTATATTGTGTATCACGATCGAATTCACTATCGGGAAAACTGTGAGTCTCTTATAACTGAAAATAAATATGTGTGATATTTTTACCAAGTATAGTGTATACGCATTCGTCGTCTGTATATAGTAATCCTCGCTCGTAAATTTGCTTTTGCACAACATGTATGGTGAACGCTTGCGCTTCTGTCTTTTTGTGGTGCGGAATCGGCGTTTCGACTCGCGTAACGGACAGTGCGTTCTCGACTTCGGCTCCGCGAGCTTACGGCCAACCCTTAACCGAAGTCATAATTGACGAACATCGCGAACAATTTGGTGAGTATTTTATGTCGTTAAATTTAATTTTAATATTTAAAACTTTTTGATACACATCACAAATTGTTTGCGCTTACTTTAAAAATGTTAAATGTAAGACTTGATTGAAGCCCGATCAGACGCGTATTACCTATAGTAAAGTTGAGTGGTGATTAAATTTCTGTATTCATTTAGTGATTCATGTTATGCGGTTATTGAATTGTAACACGTTAAAAGTTTACAAACAAATTAAGTGAAAATTCAATAATGTTAATTCAAGGTTGGCGACTTGGGGTGTATTATTATTTTTGATTCATTTATATTTGCATTACGTATACCTATCAATTTACTATAACTTAAATTTACCAGGATAATACCTCGTGATATGAAAACAATACTTTTAAGACCCAATATATAATAATCAAGCTCATATAAAAATTAGATTCGTTTTTATTTTTTAAATTGCATTGAAGTGTCATAAAATAAGCATGTTTATATACCAATAACTATTGCAACTTAAATAGAACAGATTACACATAAAACTATTGAATAAAGAAAACTTAATGTATATTAAAGTGGAAAGTATATTTAAATTTCATTGTACCATTACAAATTATAAAATTATTTAACCCTTTCTTAATAATTTATTTTAAAAATGTTTTCTTTAAGTACCTACCTGATTCAAGACTGTTATTTACTTATTCACACATTTTATAATTTTAAATAAAGTATCTAATTTATTTAATAAGTATAAAACTAAAATTCATAAATAAAAAAACACAATAATATAAAGTCAACAGCTAAAAGGCTCCAATAAATTGCAAAATGCACTATACAACATTTATACCTTGAAGAATATCAAACTACTAATATTATATCTAAAGACTGAAACATTATTACATATTAAAATATTAATAAATTATCATATATTATTTCAACACGAAATCCTTAAAAGGGTAGTCATGATTTTAACTTATGCTTTTATAATAATAGTAATATTTACTATAAATTGAGTTATCCTTATGTTAGTAAGGACTCATTCAAAGATACTTTTAAAATATTATTTTAAGATCAATTAAATAGCGGGTTGTAAATTGTAATAATATTAGTCAGCCAAAAGTAAATAATATATTTTTTACGACCTACCTATTGTAGTTATGACAAATTATTAATATTACATTTTTTGTAGTAATGATTATGTAACTTTTATATGTTTTAAGTTCTTCTCCCCTCTGATTGTATTCAATTGTGTAAATTATACTTATTTAGTTACTAATTAGTGATACAACATTGTGTTTTTAACTAAGCAATTTTTTTTAAATAACAATTTATATTGATATTTGGAATATTTATCAAATAGGCAATAGCAAATATGATCATTCGAACTCATGTAAGTAAAAAACAATATCTAAACTACAATTGAACTATTAACTATTTATTCGAGTAAGAAGGTGTATGCAATTGTACAAAGTACATAGTCATGTGAACTGTGAGTTAATTACTATTTACTAACTATCCACTATTCTATAACACCTATATTTAACCTTCAATTAATTCTCTGGGAGTACGTTAAATTAAAATGCCATGCTGGATGATATCCAAATAGCTTTATTTTAACAAAGAAGCACGATGATCACAATCGCAAACAATGTAACTTTGGATCATGGGATGATGCACAAATCTCTAGGCATTTTCTTCCTTTACGCGATGACCCAAACAGATGATACAAAGGATTCGGCGTATTCGAATAGACAAAGACGTTTTACAATCCCTAAACACCACAGTAAATAAATCCTAAACAATGTTAATGTTACTTGTCACAAAGTAATATTATAGAACACGGGTTGGTAAATGATAATGTTTAATTTTATAGGGTTTTGGCTAGACGTAATTTTTTCATGAATGTATCCATCAACGTAGACCTTTTATAAAAAAAACCAATTATCTGCCCTTTTTATCTAAAATTTACAAAAATAACAACGATTAAAAAATAGTTAAATTCTATTGCTTAAGTTTACTCACACAAATTTCGTATTCAATTTGGTTTTAGATACTTAGCGATGGCGAAGAATGTATCGGTTTAACAATATATTTATGTGTGTATTTTTTTTTTTATATCTATTCAAAAACACTGTTTTTAGTGTTTTTACCAAAACAAAAATGACCTCAATCTTCAATATTTATGGTAGTTTCTATATTAAAAAATTTCCCATAATTTTCTTAAATATTACTAATTCCTCAAAAAATTACGAAAAAATGAAAGGTAATAGGAACTAAAGCAACATTAGTTTTTAACAAAGTCGATTTTATCATTTCGATATTACCCAAAAACGAATAACGCAGATGCTTGAAATGTTCACTAAATTTGTTTCATACTAATAAAAGAATATATATAAAAGAATTTTCGAGACATAATACAACTTCCGAAATATATTGGATCTTTTTGAGCTAATTAAAGACATTTTAAATTATTGAATATTTTTAAAAAAATGCTCTATAGATTTATTAACTATAGCAATTTAATGCAATATCTATATTTTTTATAAGCCTTTAAAGTTATAATCTTGGGGAAATTTTAGATTTAAATAAAATATAATGATTTATGCTATACTATTAATCGTATTATAAATTATGTGATATATTATTATATTGTATTATATGATAATCTCATGTTTTAGGCAAATTTTCAACCAATTGTATTCCTAGTAGCAAATAGTAATATATAAGTAAAATATATAATATCCATAGAAATGTAGGGGCCCGACTCCGTGTCCGCTAGGAATCTTTTTTCAAATGCAATGATTTATCATTCAATTGAAATTTCATTTTTAAAACATCTATTAAAGTGATCTACTCAATAAAATTGTGTACTTATATTCTAAATCACTACACAGCGGAGTAGCTGCCCAAGTTTTTAATAATCAACAGTTTTTCAATAATTATCGGGCTGCAAAGAAGAGTTGCAGTCCGTTTTTAATCATCAATAATTCAGCTTTGGAATACAATTTTATTTCATTTACTTTAAGCTCACATAAATATGAATCTTAGTTCTTACGAATTATCTGGTTAATAGTAGTAACAGGATTTTATATTGTGGTAGGTAATGCTGCAAGGAGCAACTGATAAGGCTCTAATACATCGACTGGCAAAGCCCAATATTTACCTGCCGTCTGAACCGGGCTACCGACCGTTGATATAAGCTCTTGAAGGCTGACATATAAATAGTATATATGATTTATACATCTATTTGGGTATTTATATGTTTATATATAATATTTATATATATGTATATATATAAACGAGCTTCATATTTATCTAACACTAACAGCTACACAGTATCCAGCTAATACTAATTTAATTAAAAAATATATAGGTTAGTGTGTTAATATAGTAAGTTGTTTAAATTTTTCAAGTTATTACAACATAAAATATATACATACAATTATTTGTAGGTAGTTCAAAATCGGTAATAAAAATATTTTCAGAAAATTGTAAGTAATATTGATTATAATTTTTATAATGTAGGTATATATTATGGTAATACGAATATAGTAGATATAATATGGATTAAACCGGTACCTATACCTGCATCAGCTACATCAGTAACTAACATTATATCTTGAATTTACAATCAATGTTAACACGTCGTTAATGTGTATACGAAACAATATAAATAATTAAACTCATGATAATCATCGTTTAAACGGTGTAGTTAGTGTCTGCATTGAAATATATTTAAAAAAAATTATATTTGAACATAATATACTTGTAACTTATTATAATAAATAGTGCCTAATAGGTGACCTACCTTTGGCACCTGCCCAAATTTTGGTTCTAAGACTTTTGACGTTCAATTTTGTTAAATATATTCACGTATAATGTACAAAAATGTATGAAAACATATTCGACTGGAGCTTCTCAAAATATGGTACTAGGAAAATATAGACCAAGAATAATAATGTATAATTTATTTTAAGACTAGATAGGTATTATGTTGTATCATTTCAAAGGAATACGTAAAATATAAAGTACTTACCTACAATAATAAGCGTTTACTTACCATAGAAATGTATTGTTTGAGAATTCAAGACGACTGATGTTATTTTAAATGTATAATAAAACATTTCGCATGCACGTAGATGAAAAACGACTGCGAGCGAAAAAAAAACTTTTAATCCGCAAGACCAGACATCAAAAAAGAAACCGTTTAATTCGACGATAATGAGAAAATAAAATTTTCCACGACAACCGCATAATATCTGTACCTACAACCTCCATAATAAACAGAAGATTTTATTTTTTTCGAATAGTATAACATTATTTTATTGTTCTAAGGTTCGCGCAAACAAACTTGTTTGTCGTGTCCATTGTAACTAAATATATTATGTTGGTATACCTACCCAGTTGATGTTTGGCAATTCGCAAGGGTTTATGGCTCGCGCGCCAGTCGAAGCGTATAATCAAACGTTCATCTCTTATCTGCAAATAGGTTGGCAAACATGACTAATATTATATTATTGTCATAGCACAATAACCAGAAATAAGTCGAGACTCGATGTATGTTAAACTCACGAAAAAGGTTTCTGTAGCTATGAACATCGAGATAATAGCACATAAGCATTTCATTTTATCTAGACAATAGTAGGATGAATTCAATTTTGACCTAACTTTTTAACGGTTTAAAAAAATGAAAAACCAGCAAAAAGAATAAAGCACGTTATAAAATACCCATAAATAGTTTATGTTTTTAAATAACAAAGTTATGTTATGCTACCATAGACCTTACAGCGCAGTAGTTCATTATCTGAATCTAAAAATACTATTTCAAAAATCAACCCAGTAAATCAATTTACTGTGGTTGGAATTATTTTCACGTTAAAACTTCCATCGGAACTTACGTTGGAATGAAACACGGCGTGTGTTCAATGTTGCGTCTGTGTTAGACAAAGCCGGAAAATCGTCGCTTCAAATCCCTCTAAACCCTCCGAAAAATCCGGTCACTATCTCAGCCAATAATCGTC